TTTCGGTATCCCGATTGCATCATTCGGGTTTTCTCGGATATTTTCGCAGGGACCTCTGTCTTGAATACATGGGCGAGCTTTTTAATCTAATTGCGAAAAATATCACTAATCCGATTACAATACTCGGGAGTTCTCGTACATTTTTGCAGACCTCCGTCTTGAATACATGGTCGAGTTTTCCAATCCGTTTGCGGAAAAATATAAGTGATCCCGATTACACTACTCGTGATTTCTTGGGAAGTTTTGTATTGCGAAGAGAGCCTCTGTCTTGAATTAAGGGACGAGCTCATTATCACTATTCGTGGAAAACAACAGAAAATCCCGATTACATAAAGACTTCAGAACACAATCATTTTGACGTGCTTAAACAGAGTTCAGTGCCTTTAATTACTAATTCACCTTGTTCCGTTCAAACAGTCTTTTCCGCTCTATCTTGTGCAATTTCTGCATGTCTTTCAGAACGCACCGTGTGAGGATTTTCCCATCACCTTAAGGTTGCTTTGAAAAGTCCTATCTATTACTACTTTATTGCAAGACTCCCAATTTTCTCTTTCCATCAACGATGTATGAGTTCAATAGAAATATAGCGTTTGGTGATTTTACATTTGAAATCAACACATAGCAAAGTTTACTGTGAAAATGAATCACAATTTCGATTGGGGGCGGGGGCGGGGGGGGGTGGGAACTTGGGGTTGAAATTCCAAGCGGGGGTCTAACGGGTTAAATTCCATACCCCTAGAAAAAAAAATTCTGAGACACTTAGGGCGATTGGCGAATGTCGCAAAATAAAACAATTCTTTGAAACGAAGTGGGTGTGCAATAGGGAAACAAACTAGTTTCATGAATGGTCGGTTGCTCTATCCACTTCGCTTCCGACTTAAAATACTCATGAATCATCAAAACTACAACTACTCAGACACATTAATTGATATATATCGATTGCAACCACGAGTACATTTTCGGTTGTAATTAAAAAGATTTCATCTAAATTGTCGATTTGAAGGTTTGATTATAGGCCGAGAATTCTAAGGTTCGTTGAATCCTACCGTTAGACATAAAAATATAATTAAAAGTATATAGTTGATAATTCTGAATAGTTTAGAGCTAAATTCAGTTTGGTAAGCACCCTAAAATTATGAAATTCGGGTTAACATAAAAAATCAATTGAAGTAATACATCACAATGTCACAAATTTGGAGTCAAAAAGTTAGTGACATAATTTTTTTTTTCACTGAGGTGCTGCACATTTAAGGTTATCACCATAAAGTTTGAAGAAAATCAGTTTTTGATACGTTTTACGTGGTTAAACCATGATATTAGGCAATTACCGTAAAAATGTGGACAGAGGTTCAGTCAGTTTACGGTAATCCCGATTACATCATTCGGGTTTTCTTGGCAATTTTCGGAAAAACCTCTGTCTTGAATTAAGGAGCCTGCCTATCCAATAACGGAAAATATCAGTAATCCCGATTGAAATTACTCGGGATTTCTCGGTAATTTTCGGAAGGACCTCTGTCTTGAATACATGGTCGAGCTTTCCAATCCGTTTGCGGAAAATATCAATAGTCCCGATTACAAACCTCGGGATTTCTTGGAAGGTTTTGTATTGCTGCTTAGACCTCTCTCTTGAATTAAGTGATGAGCTCATAATTACTGTTCGCGGAAAATACCAGAAAATCGCGATTACATGAAGGCTCCAGAACACAACTAAATAAATCATTTTGACGTACTTAAATAGAGTTCCGTACCTTGAATGACAATTCCATAATATGTCACTCTG